GTGAGCTGAGGAGGGGGTTGGGGGGGTCAGGGGGTGCCCCGGGGGTCTCCCCACAGAGCCCCCCCAGGACCCATCCCGCCCCCCATCCCGCAGTGCACCAAGCAGCTCATCTCGGAGCGGTTCGGGCGGGGGTCCCGCACCGTGGACCTGGAGCTGGAGACGCAGATCGAGCTGCTGCGGGAGACGAAGCGCAAGTACGAGTGTGTGCTGCAGCTGGCACGCGCCCTCACCAACCACTTCTACAGCCTGGTGCAGACCCAGCACGCCCTGGGGGACGCCTTCGCCGACCTCAGCCAGAAATCCCCCGAGCTGCAGGTACGGGGGGACCTCCGGGACCATGGGGTGCAACCAGGGACCCCCACTGACCCACCCCCCACCGACCCGTGTCCCTCAGCACCACCTCTGCCCCCCCCACTGCCCGGGGCAGCCTCTGCCAAGGCCTCACAGCCCTTCCCAGGGGGAAACTCTTCCCAAGCTCCATCCAAACCTCCCCTGGGACAATTTGAGGCCGTTTCCTCTTCTCCTAAAGCCTCCTCCCCGTGTCCCCGTGGGGGAGCGGCTGTGTCTCCCCCCAAACGGTGCTGGGGGGGCAGAGCCCAGACCCAAACCCTCCCCGGGGCTCTGTGGCACAGTTGGGGGGCTCCCTGCCCCACAGCACCCTGGGTGTGCCAGGAGAGGTTGGGGACGACCGTGTTGGACAGGCTGGAGAGTTGGGGGGAGAGGAACCTCATGATGTTCAACCAGGGCAAGTGCAGGGTCCTGCCCCGGGGAGGAATAACCCCCTGGACCAGGACATCTGGGGAGACCTGCTGGAGAGCAGCTCTGGGGAGAAAGACCTGGGGGTCCTGGGGGGCAACAGGATGCCCAGGAGCCAGCAATGGGCCCTGGTGGGCAAGGAGGCCAATGGACTCCTGGGGGGCATCAGGAAGAGCGTGGAGAACCTGGAGGGGGGTCATCCTGCCCCTCTGCTCTGCCCTGGGGAGGCCCCAGCTGGAGCACTGGGACCAGTTCTGGGCTCCCCAGTTCCAGAAGGACAGGGAACTGCTGGAGAGGGGACAGCAGAGGCTGCGAGGATGATGAGGGACTGGAGCATCTCTCTGCTGAGGAAAGGCTGAGGGACCTGGGGCTGTTCAGCTGGAGAAGAGAAGGCTGAGGGGGGATCTGATCAACACCTATAAATCCTTCAAGGGTGGGTGTCAGGAGGATGGGGCTGGTCTTTTTTCAGTGGTGCCCAGGGACAGGACAAGGGAAAATGGGCATCAACTTGAACATGAGAAGTTCCACCTCAACATGAGGAGGAACTTCTTTCCTGTGAGGGTGGCAGAGCCCTGGCAGAGGCTGCCCAGGGAGGTGGTGGAGTCTCCTTCTCTGGAGACATTCAAACCCCCCCTAGATGGGACCTGCTCTGGGTGACCCAGCTCTGGCAGGGGGTTGGAGGGGGGGTCTCCAGAGGTCCCTGCCCACCCCTGCCAGGCTGGGGGTCTGTGCTGGGTGGGGCAGGGGGTGCAGGGATGTTCCTGGCAGCTCCTCGGCGCAGCCCTGGCCATGCCATCTCTGGCCCCGTGGCCAGCACTGGCCCTGACTCGTGTCCCCCCCAGGAGGAGTTTGGTTACAACGCGGAGACGCAGAAGCTGCTCTGCAAGAACGGGGAGACCCTCCTGGGGGCCGTCAACTTCTTCGTCTCCAGCATCAACACGTTGGTCAACAAGACCATGGAGGACACGCTCATGACGGTCAAGCAGTACGAGACGGCCAGGTAGGG